GACACTAAACAAACCACTCCATCAGCAGTACTGTATGAGATGAAAGTCACATTAAAGCAGTGAGGAAGCAAGTTGCTGAGAGCGAGACGTTAACTTAGCAGAGTCAGACTCACTCAGGAGGTAAACAGGCCGCTGCAGGGAAGCTGAACTCTTCCACAAGCTGAGATGCCCAATATGCAAGAAGTTAAAAAAGAGAACCAAAACAGTTTTGATCAAAGTCCTCCAGTAAAGCAAGACAACTGCATAAGCTAGGACATGGGGGGTGAGCAGAGCTGTAGTTATAAGTGGCAACCTTTACATGTGAAACAGCAATGAGGATGTTTCAACCACCTTCTTTCCCCTCAGTTAAAAGAAAAAAAACTCAGGCACAGTAAACTTAAAGCCAACTGGTGATCACCGAAAACAACAACTCAGGATTTCTATCATGGTCAAGTGCAGATGAGGACTCAGACTTGAAAGCACCAAGAGAGTTTTTTTTAAGAACCATTCAGGAGTAACCCAGAAGAAACAAAATGTGGCCAATTGTATTGAGGAAGGAGAAAGAATGTAGTATTTACTGGAGTTACTTCACCCAAAATCAGCCTCTATTGAGAATGCCACAATGAGAGCAACAGGAGGTGAATCAATGAGACTGGAAAACTGCAACATGGGCAGCTAACGCTCTGTGGGACAGACAGATGTGTAGGGGTAAAAGAAAAACGGAGCATTAATTAAATGTATGCCTAAACATCAGACTAAAAACTTGTCTAAAAAACATGGCCGCCTGTTGAATCTGGGATGAGCTCACAGTAAGCAAAGCTTGAGGAAAACATTTGACAACAACCGAGCCAATGTTAAAGAACTGCTCCCAACCCAAGGGTGCCCACAGATAGTGTGCCTGCACTTCTAAAAACTGCAAGAGTGACACAATGTCAGTGCTTGATATAAATACAGTGTATATGCGTTGAGAGAGTGTCGGCCGCTGGATGGATCAGGTCTCATGGCGGCGTCTCTGCATTGTTAGTCGTGGTCTTTTTCTTCACTGGCTTCTTCACTGTCTTGGTTTGAGTCTTTGAGAGAGAGAGGAGCAACTACAAAAGGAAAAGAAAGAGACACAACTATTCAATATAAAAATGGATAGCAGCTCAAACGGTTCAACCTAAGTTGGGTGAGACAAAGGGTTTTAGAAATCACACAGAGTCTTGTCTGGTCTGAAAATAACCCTGACTGAAGTGAATGGGAAACAGAGCAAACATTTGTAGAACAAAAGTGTAATGTAACCCCTTTTCACTTGAGAATATACACTTTTATCAAAAGACCTGCATTGCAAATTAAGAACATAAGGTTTGAAAGATAAGGACATGCACGCCCGCCCATCCCTACACGCAGATCACGCTGGTTAAAACAGTTAACAAAACTAAATGAAACAGCCAAGTGAATTCAGAGTGTGACGTTTAATACTCCTCTCACTTTCGTTTCCTCAAAAGTATGATGCAATGTGTGCGGTTCGAATTCACTTGAAAAAACATACTGGCCAAGGTGAAAACCAGTTTGGTCTTGAATTTAGTACACATATCAATTAAAAGCCAGGTCCTCTGGTCTTTCTTAGGCTGTTCAACAATCATGGGCTGTAATATTCAAAAGCCGCCTAACTGTGGGTATTTGATATTTATAGTATATTTTAACATCATTTGGGGATTTTCCCCTAAAGTTTCCTTCTAGCAGTCCTTTCCACTTCCTTTGCATTAACAAGCTTAATATATACACACCCAGTTTATTATGATGTATCTGTTAAAACTGGTTCACTGAACGTGTTTATATTATTTGTTGATTAAGTGTATTGGTATATGGGGTGAGATTCCCCAGGTGGCAGTTGGTCACTAATGTATTCCCCCAATAATGAAATCTAATCAAATCCAACATTGACAAGCACAAAAACAGGAAAGAGATGATTGGCTCACAGTTGTTGTGGCAACATCTGATGTATTTGTTAAATTAAAGAAGCAAACCTCATTTAGCCAGCTGCTTGATTTGGAAGTTGGAAAAGAAAAGGGACAGTGTACCTGCACTTTGCTCTAAAAACTGCAAGAGTACCACAATGTCATTGCTTGATATATATATATATATATATATATGTACAGTGTATATGCGTTGAGAGAGTGTCGGCCGCTGGATGGATCAGGCCTCATGGCGGCGTCTCTGCATTGTTAGTCGTGGTCTTTTTCTTCACTGGCTTCTTCACTGTCTTGGTTTGAGTCTTTGAGAGAGAGAGGAGGAACAGGTCAAATGAACACAGTTGATTTAACAACTACAAAAGGAAAAGAAAGAGACACAACTATTCAATATAAAAATGGATAGCAGCTCAAACGGTTCAACCTAAGTTGGGTGAGACAAAGGGTTTTAGAAATCAAACAGAGTCTTGTCTGGTCTGAAAATAACCCTGACTGAAGTGAATGGGAAACAGAGCAAACATTTGTAGGACAAAAGTGTAATGTAACCCCTTTCCACTTGAGAATATAAACCTTTATCAAAAGACCTGCATTGCAAAGTAAGAACATAAGGTTTGAAAGATAAGGACATGCACGCCCGCCCATCCCTACACGCAGATCACGCTGGTTAAAACAGTTAACAAAACTAAATGAAACAGCCAAGTGAATTCAGAGTGTGACGTTTAATACACCTCTCACTTTCGTTTCCTCAAAAGTATGATGCAATGTGTGCGGTTCGAATTCACTTGAAAAAACATACTGGCCAAGGTGAAAACCAGTTTGGTCTTGAATTTAGTACACATATCAATTAAAAGCCAGGTCCTCTGGTCTTTCTTAGGCTGTTCAACAATCATGGGCTGTAATATTCAAAAGCCACCTAACTGTGGGTATTTGATATTTATAGTATATTTTAACATCATTTGGGGATTTTTCCCAAAGTTTCCTTCTAGCAGTCCTTTCCACTTCCTTTGCATTAACAAGCTTATTATATACACACCCAGTTTATTATGATGTATCTGTTAAAACTGGTTCACTGAACGTGTTTATATTATTTGTTGATTAAGTGTATTGGTATTTGGGGTGAGATTCCCCAGGTGGCATAGTTGGTCACTAATGTATTCCCCCAATAATGAAATCTAATCAAATCCAACATTGACAAGCACAAAAACAGGAAAGAGATGATTGGCTCACAGTTGTTGTGGCAACATCTGATTTATTTGTTCAATTAAAGAAGCAAACCTCATTTAGCCAGCTGCTTGATTTGGAAGTTGGAAAAGAAAAGGGACAGTGTACCTGCACTTTGCTCTAAAAACTGCAAGAGTACCACAATGTCATTGCTTGATATATATATATATGTACAGTGTATATGCGTTGAGAGAGTGTCGGCCGCTGGATGGATCAGGCCTCATGGCGGCGTCTCTGCATTGTTAGTCGTGGTCTTTTTCTTCACTGGCTTCTTCACTGTCTTGGTTTGAGGTTTTGAGAGAGAGAGGAGGAGCAGGTCAAATGAACACAGTTGATTTAACAACTACAAAAGGAAAAGAAAGAGACACAACTATTCAATATAAAAATGGATAGCAGCTCAAACGGTGAGACAGAGGGTTTTAGAAATCACACAGAGTCTTGTCTGGTCTGAAAATAACCCTGACTGAAGTGAATGGGAAACAGAGCAAACATTTGTAGAACAAAAGTGTAATGTAACCCCTTTTCACTTGAGAATATACACTTTTATCAAAAGACCTGCATTGCAAATTAAGAACATAAGGTTTGAAAGATAAGGACATGCACGCCCGCCCATCCCTACACGCAGATCACGCTGGTTAAAACAGTTAACAAAACTAAATGAAACAGCCAAGTGAATTCAGAGTGTGACGTTTAATACTCCTCTCACTTTCGTTTCCTCAAAAGTATGATGCAATGTGTGCGGTTCGAATTCACTTGAAAAAACATACTGGCCAAGGTGAAAACCAGTCTGGTCTTGGATTTAGTACACATATCAATTAAAAGCCAGGTCCTCTGGTCTTTTTTAGGCTGTTCAACAATCATGGGCTGTAATATTCAAAAGCCACCTAACTGTGGGTATTTGATATTTATAGTATATTTTAACATCATTTGGGGATTTTTCCCAAAGTTTCCTTCTAGCAGTCCTTTCCACTTCCTTTGCATTAACAAGCTTATTATATACACACCCAGTTTATTATGATGTATCTGTTAAAACTGGTTCACTGAACGTGTTTATATTATTTGTTGATTAAGTGTATTGGTATTTGGGGTGAGATTCCCCAGGTGGCATAGTTGGTCACTAATGTATTCCCCCAATAATGAAATCTAATCAAATCCAACATTGACAAGCACAAAAACAGGAAAGAGATGATTGGCTCACAGTTGTTGTGGCAACATCTGATTTATTTGTTCAATTAAAGAAGCAAACCTCATTTAGTCAGCTGCTTGATTTGGAAGTGGGAAAATAAAAGGGATAGGGATTGAAAAGAATTAGAGTGATCATGAAGATAGTCTATTTTGATTCACATCTTTAGACTCAAATGCTTTTACATTATTGGTAACATTACTAATGGAGGGTTGTAAGGGTAACACATTTGGAATATAATTGACTTGGACTTGGTTGTGAAAACAGTCGGTGGTGGAAAGTCCCTAAATACATATACTCAAGTACTGTACTTAAGTGAAGTACTTTACTTGAGTATTTCCATTTGTAGCTACTTCGTACAATTCAGAGATAAATCTTGTACTTTTACTCCACTACATTTATTTAATACCTTTAGTTACTTGACAGATTTGGATTAATAATGTGAAATATAATCTACACTTAAAGGTTCCCAATACTGTTTTTCATCAATATATATACAAAACATGTTTCTATATACCAAACCGATAAATAAAAACTAAAGTGAAACCTATAAGAAACATCAGGCTCCCACGCCTCTACATACGTAAGTAAACTGGGCATGGCGACCAAAGATTGGCCTCAACGATTGGCGAAGGGAGGGTTTATAAGCAGCCACTTCAAACAGTTTCTTTCAAAATAAATGAAATATTCCAAAACTGAAGAAACAATAATACAACATGTAACGTTAGAAGAAATTCTAGAACAGGGGCTGGCATATGGACGACATGATTCTGTTGGACATAACGACTGCCAGCCCCTTCTTGGGCCGGTCTCAGACCCAAATCCGGTGAGTCAGAACATTTTTAATACATTTTCTGTTTCTCTACATGTATTGTGTTTTGTTTGTATATTCTCCGTGTAACTGGCCTATAAAGTTCTGATATGATAAGCATAGAACTAATAAAACATAAAAAGCCATTACTATAGCATTACTTTTACATTTTTTTACCACCTAACTGTTTCTCCAGAAGAGTTTAGACCCTCTCACCATGCAGGTAAGGTCACTCTACATTATTTTATTTATATATAAATATATTTACTGACTTAGGTTATCTACTTGTATACATATTTGTTTGAGCATTGATGGGAAGAGCTTGAGAACTATTTCATTCATCAAATGCTTTTCCATGCTTATCAAACTTTACAGAAACATTTGAATAGAATATCATTTCCGTTTTCCATGCCATGTGACCCATTGATAACTAAATGGAAACAGCATTGTATTAATATACTGGACGAGTAGACACATCTCTTTTATCTGATTTTATTCTAGAAAAAAAAAAGAAGTTTTAACTTTTACTGAACAATTTCAATTTGAACAGTATTGCTCAGCTTTACTTGTTGACATACAGTGGTCAAACAAAAGCACAGTGCTGTGCGAGACTGTTGCGCCTGCATACTGTAGGTTGGTCTTTGTTTAACTGAAACTAAAATGCAGGATGGAAAAAGAAGCTTTAGAAAATGAAGCACTACCTCAAATGTGCACTCAGCAATACCACAGGCAAAGCATTCAGCCGTTCCTAACAGACGTGTTTTCCACTAATGACAATAAAGACTTTAACATCAGAAGATGGTAACATTTTGTTTTCTCCACTCAGACGGACACAAGCAGACAACAAGATCGACAAGTGCCTGAGAGTCAAGAGATGTCTTCATCCACTCCCCCCGAGCCAGAACCCTCCTCACCCCAAAGGTATCGTCTAAGAAATCAAATGCTGTATTAACTGAAACTAGTTAAGTAGTAGTTACTAGGTATTGGGTCCCATGAAACTGAGTCAGGTAAACTTAAAAATACAGCTTTCCGTGGGTCGAATGAGTCAATCATACTGAACTTTAATATTTATTTTTCTCTAACATTGATCAGTCTGCATTCAAGTTACAGAAAGAGACTTAACACGTCACCACAACTTGATATTTAACAGCTTGTTTTTATTTATCTTTGTCCAAACCTTCTTCAGATCTCAATGCAAAATATAAACATGTGAAAGTAAACTTACGCAACTGATCATTTGTTTTTTTTCTCCTGGCTGTGTAATTGTACTGAACTCCAGTATATAGCATTATATATATATACAGTTTGTTTCTATTCACAACAATAGCTTTTGACAATACACTTTATGAATTCAGTACATGGAGCATTGCTGTGCTAAAAGTTAAATAACAATCTTAAGCATATGATTTTGTCCTGTGAATAAAGTCAAACCTTTATATTTATTTTCTAGGGAAAAAGACCAGCATCAGGAAGATCGTCCCAGTGCCACTGATTCTAATTCAATGACGTCAACAACAGCAAATAAACAAATTGTGTCGACTGCAAATCTTATACCAATCACCATGGATAATGAAGCTATAAAAGTTTCTGACAAAAAGTCAAGTATTAATCGAGAAATGAAACGTAACTTAGGTATAGAAGAAACATCGGCCATGCCACCTTCCTTAAAAAGACGTCTTAAGGATCAGGATAATCAATATGCTGCAGAAATGAAAGGTGGTGAAATTCAGATGTTCGATGAGGTTCAACGAAGCGATGTCGCAACACACACGGAGAGCATCTTATGTGAACATATAGATGAAACTTTGCAGAGACGTCCAACTGAAGTTAAAAACAATGATTTAAACACCCATTATAGTCCATGTTCGATGAGAGAAGGTGATATTGATCCCACTGACCTAAATCCAATCGACCAGTTTGATGTAAATGTTTCTGTTGGACACGACGACTGCCAGCCCCTGCATGGGCTGGTCTCATACCCAAATCTGGTGAGTCAGAACATTTTCAATACATTTTCTGTTTTTCTACATGTATTGTGTTTTGTTTGTATATTCTCCGTGTGACTTTGAAAAACTGGCCTATAAAGTTCTGTTTTCTCCACTCAGACGGACAGAAGCACACAACAAGATCCACAAGTGCCTGAGAGTCAAGAGATGTCTTCATCCACTCCCACCGAGCCAGAACCATCCTCACCCCAAAGGTATGGTCTAATAAATAAAATGCTGTATTAACTGAAACTAGTTAAGTAGTAGTTACTAGGTATTGGGTCCCATGAAACTGAGTCAGGTAAATGTAAAAATACAGCTTTCCGTGGGTCGAATGAGTCAATCATACTGAACCTTAATATTTATTTTTCTCTAACATTGATCACTCTGCATTCAAGTTACAGAAAGAGACTTAACACGTCACCACAACTTGATATTTAACAGCTTGTTTTTATTTATCTTTGTCCAAACCTTCTGCAGATCTCAATGCAAAATATAAACATGTGAAAGTAAACTTATGCAACTGATCATTTGTTTTTTTTCTCCTGGCTGTGTAATTGTACTGAACTCCAGTATATAGCATTATATATATATATACAGTTTGTTTCTATTCACAACAAGAAGAGATCTTCAATCCAACACATCGCCCTTTAGCACACTTAACTAAGTTAAATCAGCCACTGACAATCTGTTAGCTTTTGACAATACACTTTATGAATTCAGTACATGGAGCATTGTTGTGCTAAAAGTTAAATAACAATCTTAAGCATATGATTTTGTCCTGTGAATAAAGTCAAACCTTTATATTTATTTTCTAGGGAAAAAGACCAGCATCAGGAAGATCGTCCCGGTGCCATTCATTCTAATTCAGGGACATCAACAACAGCAAATAAACAAAATATGTCGACTGCAAATCTTATACCAATCACCATGGATAATGAAGCTATAAAAGTTTCTGACAAAAAGTCAAGTATTAATCGAGAAATGAAACGTAACTTAGGTATAGAAGAAACATCAGCCATGCCACCTTCCTTAAAAAGACGTCTTAAGGATCAGGATAATCAATATGCTGCAGAAATGAAAGGTGGTGAAATTCAGATGTTCGATGAGGTTCAACGAAGCGATGTCGCAACACACACAGAGAGCATCTTATGTGAACATATAGATGAAACTTTGCAGAGACGTCCAACTGAAGTTAAAAACAATGATTTAAACACCCATTATAGTCCATGTTCGATGAGAGAAGGTGATATTGATCCCACTGACCTAAATCCAATCGACCAGTTTGATGTAAATGTTTCTGTTGGACACGACGACTGCCAGCCCCTGCATGGGCTGGTCTCATACCCAAATCTGGTGAGTCAGAACATTTTCAATACATTTTCTGTTTTTCTACATGTATTGTGTTTTGTTTGTATATTCTCCGTGTAACTTTGAAAAACTGGCCTATAAAGTTCTGTTTTCTCCACTCAGACGGACAGAAGCACACAACAAGATCCACAAGTGCCTGAGAGTGAAGAGATGTCTTCATCCACTCCCACCGAGCCAGAACCCTCCTCACCCCAAAGGTATGGTCTAAGAAATAAAATGCTGTATTAACTGAAACTAGTTAAGTAGTAGTTACTAGGTATTGGGTCCCATGGAACTGAGTCAGGTAAATGTAAAAATACAGCTTTCCGTGGGTCGAATGAGTCAATCATACTGAACTTTAATATTTATTTTTCTCTAACATTGATCACTCTGCATTCAAGTTACAGAAAGAGACTTAACACGTCACCACAACTTGATATTTAACAGCTTGTTTTTATTTATCTTTGTCTAAACCTGCAGATCTCAATGCAAAATATAAACATGTGAAAGTAAACTTATGCAACTGATGATTTGTTTTTTTCTCCTGGCTGTGTAATTGTACTGAACTCCAGTATATAGCATTATATATATATATACAGTTTGTTTCTATTCACAACAAGAAGAGATCTTCAATCCAACACATCGCCCTTTAGCACACTTAACTAAGTTAAATCAGCCATTGACAATCTGTTAGCTTTTGACAATACACTTTATGAATTCAGTACATGGAGCATTGTTGTGCTAAAAGTTAAATAACAATCTTAAGCATATGATTTTGTCCTTTGAATAAAGTAACACCTTTATATTTATTTTGTAGGGAAGAAGACCAGCTTCAGGAACATCCTCCCTGTGCCACTGATTCTAATTCAATGACGTCAACAACAGCAAATAAACAAAATATGTCGACTGCAAATCTTATACCAAATTACAGCATGAATAATTGGAGACAGAGTTCCCTTAAACCAAAATATAGTAAGCGTTACATGGATAATTCTGAGCAACAAACAAATGTTTCTGACAAAAAGCAACTGTCTCCAACAGAAATCATGACATTTTTAACAACGTGGTGCGGTAGACCTTTGCCAAAACACCATCTTAAAGACCATCATCAGGAAGATCGTATACCAAGGGCCATGAATAATTATAAGAAACTAATACAAATTTCTGACAAAAACTTACTTTTTAATCATGTAATGACACTTAATTCAGAAATAGAAGAAGGATGCAGTATTTATAAGGCCATGCCACCTTTCTTAAAACTCCCTCTTATGGATCAGGATAATCAATATGCATTTGGTGCTATAGAAATGAAAAGTGGTGAAATTCAGATGTTCAATGTGATACAACGAAGCGATGTCACAACACACACAGAGAGAGTCTTATGCACAAATATAGATGAAACTTTGCAGTTATGTGGAATTGAAGTTAAAAACATTTATATGTTCACCCTTAATAGTCCATGTTTGATGAGAGAACATAAGATAGATAAGAAAGATAAAGATAAGAAAGATAAAGATAAGAAAGATAAAAATCCCTGTATGTTACATCTTGTAGAGAAAGCCCGTCAATGGCACAGTGAATTTGGCATTAACACTATAGTGTTCTTCAAAAAGCCTTGGGGACTAAATGGACCAGATATCTTTAAAGATCTCCTGTATTCTGAGGTCTCATGTACCAGCAGTGCTTTTCATCTATATGTTGACTTGTGCAAGGAACATCGCTTTACACTGGACAACAAATTCAGACAAGATAATAAGGCTATATTCCGTCTTATCGGAAAGGTTAAAAGAAAAGAAAAACTCAAGAAAACTATTGAATCTATTCTCAGTAAACTTCAGGATAAGGCGGAAAAAAGGCGGAAAAAAAGTCAGCATTTGGAGAATGGAAGGGAATACATCAAGTCACTCACATTTCCCCCAGAGGTCCATGATGAAATCATTGACATTTTGACAAATAATTGGGATCAAATGGTTAACGATAGTTCAATGTCTCTCATTATTCAAAAAATAACATCATATTTCAACATTGCAGTCGTTAAACTCTTTGTCAGAGATCTTAGGTTAGATCTGGGTAACAGTGGCTTCTTTCAGATTTATCAGGTCCCGCCGGGCCCTGAGGTGGAGGAGTGAGATTATGTTCAATTGATTAAAACTTCATTTTGATCACAATTTATTATGTGATACAAAATGTATTTTTATTGTCATTACTATATTTTGAAATATGTAAAGAAATATGTATTTGAATTTAACAAAACATTTACCTTAACCTTTTGTAGTTAAACAAAGGTATTGGTTTTTTTTTTAAACACTAAATGGCATTCATTTTTTTAATAATAATATAATAACGTTGGGTTCCAATTGTAATTAGTGCTCTAATTATTTTTGAACTCAAGTGTTTGTCTGGATGTTTGTTGTCTGCATCTGTCCTGAGCTCTTAAATAAAATAAATAATAAAAACTCACATTGAAACTGTGTTGGCTTTGTTTCCTCATTAGCAACTAAATGTCCCCGTCTGTCCAACAGGTGTGTGGACATGAACGAGACACGTAAGTAGGTGAGGACAAAGAAATGGACAAAGAGACAGAGGGTGGATGGAGTAAAGGCAGGAAGGACATCATCCACATTTGACTATACCCCAAAATCAGCAACTGGATCTCCTACTAAAATGAGTTAAATAACATAATGCAGAATTTGACAGGACAAAGTAGTTTGAACTATACGTGTTCCTTTATGTTACCTAACAATATAGAAGAAGGGGAAAGGGAACAACCATTCAGTCGTTGTGCGTCTTTGTCACAGGAAAATATCTCTCTGCCTCTGATACGCCTGCACAGGTGTGGGATTTCTGAGAAGTTTAGAGGTGTTTTCATTTTTGGTATAAAGTTGTTTTGGTTTTTTGTGTGATATTTGTTTACATATTATACTATGATATTGTTTTCTGACAAACTATACTTTAATTGTTTTATCTCATGCTGTTCTATGAGTTTTTGTATAAACACTCAACTTTTACTTTTTTTGTACATAATATACTATGTCTTTTTTTACTATGCTCTATTTTCAAATACTTTACGATGAATTTTCTCAACATGATATACTTTTAGACTTTTTAAGATATTTTTGACCTACTCTACAATTACTTTTTTTCACATGTTATACTATAAAACATGTTTTAAAGGGAGGTGTGTGGCGTAGTGGAATATTGCGTTGGTGTTCAGATCAGGGGAGCACAGGTTCAAACCCCACTGCAGTCAGCATGTCGTTGTGTCCCTGGGCAAGACACTTCACCTTCTCCTACTTACATATATACTATGATGTTTTTGTTTAAATATTATACAATTTGCTATTATTCTAAGTCGCTTTGGATAAAAGCGTCAGCTAAATGGAAAGTCATGCTATGACCTTTTCTCAGATATCTTATGAAACACGACAGTAACATTTTCTATGATATCTTTCCACATACTATACTTTGACTTTTTTTTCAGACATTCAATTATATCACCTTTTTCTGACATCTTTTGACATACTCTACAATTAATTGTTCAACTCAATATACTAAGACTTCAAATGATTTTTTCCAACATACTTTTCTATGATTTATTTTTCATAATACAATACCAAGATTGTTTTATGACATCCTATAACATGACTTTTTAACATTTTTGTGATACTACATGGTGATTTTTATTCAACATAACATGCCTTCTTATGATTTTATTTCAAATACAATGCCATAACTTATTTCGGAATGTTTCAACATATTCACTTTGACTTATTTTAACCTGCGCTACTATGACTTTGTATGACATGATTTACTATGATTTTCTTTCAACATACTATACTTTGACTTTACATTTTTCAACATACCATAATAGTATAGTATGTTGAAAAATGTAATGTATGATCATGGGATCATCGTATAGTATGATTTTTTATTATATTCACAACATACTATACTATGATATTCTATGACATTGTACTACATACATTAATTTCATTTTTTTCGCCAAAATAAACTTTGAATTCTTTTATGATAACTTTCCACATTATATGCTTTGACTTTTTTCGTCAAACCGGCTTGATTTTCAAGATTTCTTTCAAAAAATTTACATTTTTTTCCAGATACTACTCAGATATTTCTTTTGGATACATTTCAAAACACAATACCATAGTTTTAAATATTTTTGAAAAGACTATATTTTGACTTTTTTTTTAAACACAATATGCTATGACTTGTTTTCTGATATTTTTGGACACACTAAACAGTTTTTTACGACAAACTCGTTTGAATTTTGTTAAACATGCTATACTATACCTTTTTATGGTATTTTATAGTTTTTAAAAATACTACACTATGATTTTCTATATTTTTGAGTTACTGTGTTTTTTGACATAAATATGCCTGAACTATGACTATGCCTTTTTTCAGAACCAAGTCATTCTCCAGCTGCTTTCACTTCAGACACAACAGTGCAAAATCAGAGCACTGCGTTACATTACAAAAGTCGTATTTATTTGATTGTTTTAATTTAGTTTTTTTAATAAACCAAGATATATGGAGGTTGCTCCTTCCTCCAGCTACACAGGGATTGTTTTCAACAGCACAAAAGATAGTGACCCTCTGATTTGATTTCCTTTATTAGTAGTTTCATTACTGATACATGACCTTGTCAGATACCATTGTCTCAGCACACATTGTAATTATTTTTCACATGGAGCTTTAAGAATTGGCACAAACCATATACAAATGAAAATCCCTGTATACAGGATTGATTTCAAACAGAGGAAATAAATTAACACATTTCTGCAAATGGCATGGACACAAGATCAAAACAAAGGGTTGAATCCTGATAAGAAATCATGTCTTTTGTATGTTGTAAACAGACTGTTGGTCCTAAATACTTAAGAACCGGTCTGAGTAGAGTACTTAGCACGATATGTGCAAACATCAGTTTATTCTCAGTCTGTTATTTCCTACTTTGTGAGGAAGAGAAGTTAAAAACAACAAGAAAATACAAAAAAACATGTTAAATATACAAAAATGAAATACAAAAATGAAGACGTCTAACACCAGAAGTCCACACTGGAGTTCCAGCTTCTTCAGGTCTCAAAACATAAGATTGGTCAAGAGTAAGAATTAAAAAAAGCACACAAATTATTAAAACATTAAATGTTTTTAAGCCCAGAGAATGAGTAAGGCAAGCAAGCTTATACTGTTTATACAGTGAAGATTATTATTTACATTGTGTTCAAATCTTATTTATTAACTCTGCCAGCAGTTGAGGTGACGTTTGTCTCCCCCTAGGGGTTCAAACTAGTGTTACTCTGCAGACAGCAGTGCTGAGTGCAGAAGTAGTATCATGCTTTTAAATCTCTCATTAGAGCTCTTGGAAGAAACCACCATAAAGGCAGTGGCTGGCAACCAGAAGAGCCCACCACAGAACACAAGTCCAGTATGTTGAGAAACACCTGGAGCCTGGTCTGACACTTCCTCCACATCTGGAACAACAGCACGGGGATCAGAAACAAATTCCTCTGTCTCCTGATGTTGATTTTGGTTCAATTATTTCCATATTGCTTCGCTTAATCCTGGTTATGATATACATATTACAACGAGGCAGAGTGTCACCACGCAGCTGGGGAAAAGGAGGGGGAAAGTGCAGAGCTACTCTGTGACTTTCTAATGTTGAACACAAACAATACACACACCTCTACTGGGATGAAAGCAGATATGTTGCTCACATGACTACTGTATTGAACGGGGGTTACAGCTTTACCCTAAGAGGCCTGGCTATGAACAACCAAACATACTTTTTACCAACATCTTATGACCAAAAGAACAGAAGTGTGTTAAATAACAGGGTGGAGTCTATATGCAGGATAACTAAGCCGACACTAAACAAACCACTCCATCAGCAGTACTGTATGAGATGAAAGTCACATTAAAGCAGTGAGGAAGCAAGTTGCTGAGAGCGAGACGTTAACTTAGCAGAGTCAGACTCACTCGGGAGGTAAACAGGCCGCTGCAGGGAAGCTGAACTCTTCCACAAGCTGAGATGCCCAATATGCAAGAAGTTAAAATAGAGAACCAAAACAGTTTTGATCAAAGTCCTCCAGTAAAGCAAGACAACTGCATAAGCTAGGACATGGGGGGTGAGCAGAGCTGTAGTTATAAGTGGCGACCTTTACGTGTGAAACAGCAATGAGGATGTTTCAACCACCTTCTTTCCCCTCAGTTAAAAGAAAAAAAACTCAGGCACAGTAAACTTAAAGCCAACTGGTGATCACCGAAAACAACAACTCAGGATTTCTATCATGGTCAAGTGCAGATGAGGACTCAGACTTGAAAGCACCAAGAGAGTTTTTTTTAAGAACCATTCAGGAGTAACCCAGAAGAAACAAAATGGGGCCAATTGTATTGAGGAAGGAGAAAGAATGTAGTATTTACTGGAGTTACTTCACCCAAAATCAGCCTCTATTGAGAATGCCACAATGAGAGCAACAGGAGGTGAATCAATGAGACTGGAAAACTGCAACATGGGCAGCTAACGCTCTGTGGGACAGACAGATGTGTAGGGGTAAAAGAAAAACGGAGCATTAATTAAATGTATGCCTAAACATTATCAGACTAAAAACTTGTCTAAAAAACATGGCCGCCTGTTGAATCTGGGATGAGCTCACAGTAAGCAAAGCGTGAGGAAAAAATGTGCAACAACCGAGCCAATGTTAAAGAACTGCTCCCAACCCAAGGGTGCCCACAGACAGTGTACCTGCACTTCTAAAAACTGCAAGAGTGACACAATGTCAGTGCTTGATATAAATACAGTGTATATGCGTTGGAGAGAGTGTCGGGCGCTGGATGGATCAGGCCTCATGGCGGCGTCTCTGCATTGTTAGTCGTGGTCTTTTTTTTCACTGGCTTCTTCACTGTCTTGGTTTGAGTCTTTGAGAGAGAGAGGAGGAACAGGTCAAATGAACACAGTTGATTTAACAACTACAAAAGGAAAGAGACACAACTATTCAATATAAAAATGGATAGCAGCTCAAACGGTTCAACCTAAGTTGGGTGAGACAAAGGGTTTTAGAAATCACACAGAGTCCTGTCTGGTCTGAAAATAACCCTGACTGAAGTGAATGGGAAACAGAGCAAACATTTGTAGGACAAAAGTGTAATGTAACCCCTTTCCACTTGAGAATATACACTTTTATCAAAACACCTGCATTGCAAAGTAAGAACATAAGGTTTGAAAGAAAAGCACATGCAGGCAGGCCTGCCCCTCCCTACACGCAGATCACGCTGGTTAAAACACTTTACAAAACTAAATGAAACAGCCAAGTGAATTCAGAGTGTGACGTTTAATACTCCTCTCACTTTCGTTTCCTCAAAAGTATGATGCAATGTGTGCGGTTCGAATTCACTTGAAAAAACATACTGGCCAAGGTGAAAACCAGTTTGGTCTTGGATTTAGTACACA